GTATGGGCAGCTGCCCACCCTACCCATACGCTAGAACCGCCACTGGCTGAAGGTAAATGAAGCGGGTCTTCTTTCTCGATCGACTGGTTCCTGTGTGGTGGGTGTGTTGGTAATTGTTACCTTAAGATTTTTTTTGATAGATATATCTGTGTTAGAGTGGGCGCTGTCTGTTTTTCGAGTATTCTGTTCATTAAGATCCATGACATTTTTAACCGGAGTGGTGTTTGGGTTATTAAATCGAATCGGTTCGGATTTATTATCTATTGCATTTTTACAGTGATTCGAAGTATGACCTGTTTGTTTACATAAATAACAAGTCACGGTATCGTCAGATAAGAATATACGATATTTCGTTTGGTCGAATTGTAATAAAATGGAGCTCGGAATTTTGTCACTGTGCTCAGGGTGTATATGCATTTGACGCCTGAAACTTCCTATATTACCGAACTCGTCATTAGAGAATCCAGCTTTCATAAATGTAATTGGTGATAACATTTTAATGGAAAGGTTGTTAATTTCTTTTGCGATTATGTCATGTGAAATTATCGGCTGGACATTTGATATTATTATGCGTTTAGCCGGGTTGATAAGACGACGATACGGTATTTCTGTGTTGTTTATAGTAATAAAAGGTTGTTTTGTGATGATTTGTTCGACGATGTTTTTGCTTGAAAAGTAAACAATGCAGAATCTATTGTTCGAAATGCGTGATGCAAATTGTATATTCTTTGGAGGAGTTAATTGGCTAAATGCTTTAATGTATTCTATTTATGGAATATCTTGGATCGTGTTGAGGATTATTGCTTGGTCTTTCTTTGGGAAAGACATATTTGCGGCAGTTTCTGCGAAGGTTTTTATGTATGTTTGGTTGATGGGAGTTAAATATAGTACGGGGCGAGTCAATATCAGGGTCATCCGTCATGTTGGAGAGAGGTGCACATGGACGTTAATGCCTACTATGGTTGTGGGAGGCCGAAATCAAAAAAAAAAAAAACCTAATCTAACCTTCTTGATTATGATGAAATTCTATTTACTACTATCGAAAGCTAAAATGTGATAAGCGACAGACGGTAACACACGTGTGTATCGGTCGGCTGTAACACACGTACTAAACAGAAGAAAAAGAGCATTATTGTTGGATTAAAAACCTATGGAAATTAGTAAGTTCACAAAAAACAAATAATGGACATCGATGCTTATTGTGTAAAATGGGTTTATCTCACTTAAGCACAAAATAAAAATTAAAAAAGCATAAAAAGTATTGTAGAAACAATAAATGTGCCCAAGTAAAATTGAAAGCATGTTTCCCAAAATTTATACTTGCACAAAAACTTATTTATTTAAATACTTCCTTTTATTATCAACAATATATATGTCATAATATGACATATATATTGTTGATAATAGCTATACTATCAACCAAACCGCTCAGAATCGTTTTTTCGTTAAAAATGGTTAATCGTTGCTTACATTGAATTACCTATAGCAGTAGCTGCACTCATCCATATTATTCTAAAATACCTTGAGACGTCCCGGTTCGGTCGGCTTTCTTTGAGAACCGACCCGAGCGCCCAGCTGACTACCTGCCTAGTGGGAAGGTCACCAACCTAGAACCGAGGTCCGAAAACCAGAGTCCTAGGATTTTTGTGAGTAGGGAAGGAAAAAAAAAGAATTTAAAAAAGTAAACACTTGGTTTTCTTGAGGGAAAGTATATAATTGTTTATTTAATTTACCAATCAAAAGTAAAATTTAAGTTATATAACAGAAAAGCCCGGGACATAAAAACTGTTAATTAAGAAAGAATGGATAATAGGTACGACTTATAATATTGATATATATATATATATATATATATATATAGAGAGAGAGAGAGAGAGATATTGGCTTATAAACTAACATTTATAGACAATTTATATTTTAAATATATGTATATTGATTGGGGCGTCAACCAGTCGTAAGTGTTGTCCGGACATAAATAGTAACATCACGGAGAATGTGCAGACCGGGACTTATCTCTACTTTCTACTAAGATATCAAATGGATCATGTCTCGCGATTCTCATAAATAGTTCTTGGGGAGTAGAGCCCGTAGACTCGTGGACTGTATTATTGAGGACCAATTCAATGTAATGAATATATTGGGACCAACTTGTATGTTTGTCATGACAGTATGTACGGAAGAATCTACCAAGTTTTCACATTACTCTTTCGGACGGATTGCTTTGGGGATGATATACACTGGTGGTTGATACTTGAATACCTAACTCGGTCAGTCGACTTTGCCAAACGCGGCTGATGAATTGTACTCCATGATCGGAGACAATAGTGGTAGGCTTTCCGTGGACTTTTACAAATTGATCCATCATGCGATTAGTTACTATTAAAGCAGTTGCTTTCTTCATGGGATATAGGCACACAAACCTAGTAAAATTATCGAGGACAACAAAAATATATTTATTCACATCCCACGCCGTGGGCAATGGGCCAAATAATTCGACACATAATTTTTGGAGAGGTTCAGTAGACAAAATATTTTGCATAGCGCCTTCAACTCGAATAGTGAGAAACTTCATTCTTAGGCAGACATCGCAACAGCGTACTATTTTTCGTGTTCTTTTGTATAATGAGGGGAAAAATACAATCTTTTTTATAGCGGAAATACACTTCCGGAGACCTACGTGACCAAAGTGTTGATGGTATACCTTTATTAAGGAATTGACATGTTGTCGTGAAATACATACGAGCCATTTGGTGGAAGACGGTGAACGTCGATAATATAAGATGTTATTTACTAATGTGTAATAGGACAAGTACTTGAAACAGTGGGTGGACACATTTCTTTTAAGTATCTGGATAAGCCTATCTAGTTTGCAGTCCACATGCTAATTACTTATAATGTGTTTCAAAATTTTCAAGTGGCGTTTGACTTCATCCACCATGGGGTCGGTTCTCAGAGCCATTATATATGTGGTTTTCTGATTCTGTTGACATATATCTCTATCAAGGGGATTGCGGGAAATGAAATCTATAATATTAGTGGGACCGAGGATATATTGAATTCTTAAATCGAATTCTTAGAGAGCTAGTGTTCAACCGGTCGACCATATCGATGGTATATTGTAAAATATGGGTATGCTTGTCCTTTGATAACTGTCTAGCGTAAAATTGAGAAAATACATCCCAATACGAATTTATTCACGACAAAAACAATAACTAAGCATTAATAAACGGTCACAAAAATATTTGACGTCTTGAAATTGACAGTACTCCTGTATTTTTTTAATGTATAATTTTTATTTTAAAACTGTAAAGTACAACGGCAATCGGCATCCTTAAACACACACACGCGCGTATGTTAACAAAACAAAACAGGTTACCGACGACTTTAGTATCAACAGTCGGGAACCGGGAGCGGTCACTCCGCCACGTAACCACGCAACGCGTAGGTGCCGAGCCTGCACCTAGAGTGCGGCACTTAATTGCTCATACACAAACAGAATCTATTGCAATAATTTTTACTAAATTTAATACGAAAACTTTCAAAATGCTAATTCTAAAACATAATAAGGACCAGTGTCAATATTCAACACGATACTGATAACAGGTTTTAGTCTAACCAATATGATTTTTTATGAAGCAAAATTTGTCTACATTGTTTATATTCAGTATCTAGAATTTTTTTCTAGAAAATTTAAGAAACAAGCAGCTCTACAATTTTATATTTATGTTATTTTTTATCACCCGAATTTTTGGGAAGTAAAACCACTTTTAACTGATTTTAATTTTCAAATAACAATCTATTTTACAAATTCGATGAATATATGAAGAATAAGTCTATTATATATGAGTGTACATTGATATTTATATAATATTATATTTTTCTTTTTTTAGATATTAACTATAAGCAAACAAACTATTTGAAATGTGAGACATAACCAAATATATACATAAGTATAAAATATAGCCTTGTATACAATAATACTGGTGATACGAAAATTTTTTAAACTGGTATCAATAACATGTAAAATTAATATTTTTGTAGATAAAATTGATTTTTAGATTTTGAGTGGAGCAAAGAAACGTATAGTTTTACAAAGATTTTTATTTTTTTTCTATAAACAACTTTTCTACCAGCAATTTTACTCCAATTTATAATTATAGCAATTTTTCTAAAAGGAAATTTCACTGGGGAGGTACATTAAAGCAGTAATTTTTCAATTTTCTCAAAAGTTTTCTCAAAAAAAGGTAATAACCGAAAAAAAAACTGAGGAAAAATGGGAAAATGTAAGAAATGTAGGTATTAGCTAAAAATATTACAGCCTTCTTTTTTCCTGTGGATAACTTTTCTACCAGAAATTTCGCTCCAACTTATAGTATAAGTAAAATAGAATGAGAGACTTACAGAACAATATAATACCTAATATTGTAGTGATAACCCGATCACCATAAATATTACACATGTGAGTTTTTTGATTAATAATTTGTTGAGGACCTATTTACGGTGATAATATTATGCAAGTGTTCGATGCTACGGCCGTACACGTGTTTTCTGTTAAAGGCCAAACCCAAATCGATATGGGTATACTATATGTTTTCCTGAATTCAATAATACAATTATGATTCAACTATACAGATGGCACGGTTTTCTCCCAAAAATAACCTTTCGCTTTTCGCCCACGTTCTCTTTTCGTCCAAATATGATTAACTAGTTTCCTCTGTTCTAGAGCCTTTTCATCTACGGTTCCACGTTCAATGTTTTGGGAACCATTTATAAAAAAAGAAAAGACGTTCTAGGATAATGGAGACGGGTCCACTATTATAGGTCATTTAATTTATATCTATAAACAACGATAACCCATTCATAACGAAAAAACGATTCTAAGCACAGTTCAGTTAATAATGATGCTTTGTCAACAATATGTATGTTATATTATGGTAAAATAATTAAATAGGTATTACATATTTTCTTTAATAATATTGTACCGATATTTGTGTTTTTCCTGAGTTTTTCTCAATTTTCCCATATTTTTTCCCTGGTTTTCACATTTGCTGGGAAAAATTTTGAGAAAGTCGAAAAATAACCCCCCTTAATTACCCCCCTAGTTAGATTTACTTTCAGTAAATATGTTTGAACTCATGACCCCAAGGATAATAATAGGTATATTTAACCATTCGACTATGACAAACATGTTCAAGAGTACACAATATAAAGTTAATTTTAGAAACTCAATTCTGATTTCACCACCGTTCATAAATTCGCAATATATAAATGTTCAAAAAAATAAAAAAAAATTGGAAAATTAGATTTGTTCCATATAATTTTTTACTCCAACGGTTTTCGTCTAAATTTGATAATAAAATTCCTTTATAAACATTACTACATTAAACTCAATTTTTTTTTAATACAAAGTAAGACTCTTAATGAACCTCCTATTGAATTGTTAAGCATTACTGGTAATTCTAACAATTTTATCATAGAGTACCTACCGAATAAAAATTACGTACAAAATTCGCAAAATTAAAATGTCTATAAATAGCTCAAAATGAACTTAAATGTTTTGAAAATTTTACCGTGTCTAGAAAAGGCAAAATGTATTGTCCAAATTTCAAGTCTCTGTGAATATATTTAACTGAATTACAATAAATAACAAAATTGAACAAATATTAAAAGCATTGTTTTCATAAATTTCCCGTTTTTTCTCACTTTTTCACTTTTATAGGGAAAACTGTCAGGAAAATCGAAAAAAGACCTGTCCATATTACCACCCCAAGAAAGTTGCCTTTCGGAAAAGGGTATATATAGATGCATTGGAGCAATATTTTTGATAGAATTTTTGTACATAGGATAAAAAAAATTAAAAAAATACATCTTAGTAAAACCAATACATTCTTCGCTATACTCAGAATCAAAAATAGTTTTAAAATAAAGCTTAATCGATTCCTTAATGTTTAAAAAAAAAAACAGAAATCAAATTCACTTAAAATCCTCCGAGAAAACTGGTAGTTCATGATAGAAAAATCATCTTTGTATTATCGTTTATGTAATAGTTTTGTTTTGTCAGAAGAAAAAAAAAACTTGATTTAGAAAAGAGTTTTATAATACGATTAATATTATTATCATAAAAAATTCCGATGACTTGCCACCGCCGCTGCCGGCAGGTGTAGTTTTAACCTTGACCGTCGTTGACCGAACGCACCGAATGTTTTCGATAATATTTTGTTTAATCGGTATCCGCTTTCACTCTGAAATTATTTACGTACGTTAAACACGTTCACCTTCACAAACACCGCCTCTGTCGTCATTCGGTAAAAGAGGAAATACATACAGTTTTATTCTTTCTAGAGTTGACCGCGTATTACACAGAATTAATATTATAATATACAATAATTTATATACCTACACACGTTTATTTATTTTTTAATACTGTAAGGTTAGGTTAACTTTTAATGATTATTGTAACTAAAAAAAAAACAATAATTATTTGTATATATTTGCATTGTTTGCTTATAATAGATTTAAATATATATATATATATATCTGACTGTAATGAATTATATTTACAACACTACGTGCAAGCACTTGCATTTTTCACTCGGAATATATAATACACTCGCGTATATTTTTATTGGCATTGCGATTTATCGTTGCTTTCAATATACATAATAGTAAATGTTTACTTATGTTCGCTCCATCCAAACCTATAATAGGAAAATGTTTAAAGTTATAAATTGAGGTGTTGCCGAAGAAATGGGACGTTACACTATAGTATTATATTATAATAACTTTTAGGTTGGTATCTTAGCTATGTCTGTATAGTTTCCGATTACAACAAAATATTGTACAAACACGCGGTCCGCATAGTATAACATTATTTCTTTCCTCTGTCTTGTGTAAAATATATTATTTATATATATCACGTTCGGCTATTTTTTTAGCACTGTTAATATTAAATTTGTTTAGATTTTTTTTTTTTTTTTAATTGGTTTGTTTTCGAGGGAGACATCGATTTGGAGAAAAATAAAATGTTTATTTTCATCCCCAAACACAAAAAATAAATAAATTTATTTATTCACTTTAGAAAATGTTCAAAATAGCCATTTTGTAAAAAATATTGTTCTTAACATTGTAATGTATCATACATTCATATCTGAATAATAGTTTTTTTAATTATAGCCGTTTCAATTTCTAGAAAATAGTAAAATAATTAGTATTCAATGGAGGTTAAATAATTACCGTACTGATTGTAATTCCTTATCGCATAACGTGTTATTTTATTGAATATTAATTGTTTTTATGCCTAACTAAAACGGCTATAACTAAGAGATTATTCATCGGATATGAATGTGTGATATGGCCAAATAAAAAATGGCTAGTTAAAGGAGTACCTTTTTAAATACCTGAAATTATGTTTTTAACTATTACCTATTAGGCTTTGAATATTATGATAATATAGATAATAATAAATTATAATACTCGTTTGTAGTTAAAAATCGAAAATGTCAAGTGTAAGAATCAAAAGATGATGGATTATTTCAAAAATTATACCACCTCTGGAAAATGACTATTATTATT